CCTCACCAATGGGACGTCAACTACCTCTCATGGAAGCCCATTCCATACCCAATCATCTCCCCTCAGTGCTTGGGTTGTCATGTACTGAATTCAGTGTCTGATCCAAAATGGGACCAGGGAGTCTCTGGGCAGAGGTTACAGCCCAGTGGGCTGCTGGGTGGTGGGGACTCCAGGGAGGCTGACCACTACAACACTTTCACTAAACTCCATTATAGTGACTGCTGTTTCAGGGCCAAACCATACCTTGCATGTAAACATGTGAAACTGTAACCTGATGGCTTAAGGTGAAAGAATTTGAAAAACTAATTTGGAAGGAAGTTATTTTAAATGGAGGGATGCCTGATTCTTTTTCTCACCTACTGTCTAAATCACATCAATTTCCCACTGCACTAGATTTGAAACACATGTCTGGGCAAGTCTATAAAGGCTGCAGGCTGCAGGTGTTGGGAAAATTTGGATAAATCCTGTCTGAAAAGCATTACTTCTGTGTGCTTTTTTGCATTGTGGGATCAAATCCTGTCTTCCTTCTCAAAACCAAGCTGTCACTGTTTAAAATGGCATCCCCCCTCCTTTCTCTCACCTTTAGCTGTGGGCTACAGTAGACAAGCCATTCAGTCCAAATATACACTGTAAATAGTCATTGTTTGAATTCAGTTTACAAGGAAGTATCTTTTGATAGCCCAGAGGCTACATGTGCCCTGGCCAATTCAGAATGTCTAGAGTCTAGATAAGAGTCTTTGAGTTCATGCATAGATTCAGTAGCTTGAATTTATATGTCTAAGCAGACCTGGAGATGGGTTCAAGCTACTGAACTAAAGTGTCAATACAGGCAATTAGAAATATTGTAATCTCATTGTTACTGTGTGATTGACTGACATTTCTTTATCAGTTCTGTATGTGATGACCTCAGAATCTTATTGTAATCTCTGCATTCTGTCATCAATTGCCCTGTACCTGTATGTGACTGGGAGTGTATAAAAACTCCCTAGTTGTGTTGAAGCTTTGCAGCAGAGTTCACTCTGCCTGTACAGTAATGCATTATCGTGAGTATGGACCCTCGAGGAACCTGGGTAAAACAATAATGCCTCAGATGGTCAGGACACTTGGTCTTTCCCACGAACCTGAGTTTTATTCCCTCTTCTCAAATTGAGATTCCAGGTTTCTGACACAGGCTACAGTTAGATAATAATGATTATTAACTTACATTAATGTTATACATTGCGTTCTTCCTTTTGCAAGGAAATCAAGGCAGTTTACAAAATTTTCTTCCTGTTTTATCCTTCACAGCAATGCTGTGAAGTTGGTTAGTTAGAGAATCAGTGAGCAACCCAAAGTCACCCAGTGAACTGAGAGGAGACCAGAACCCTAATCTCCTGAGTTTCAGTCCCAGATGCTAATCACTACACCACACTGATTGTACCCTGAACCACTGAAGAAAGATACAAACTTCTGTGAGAAATTAGTTCTATAATTATGGTCTCTGCTATGTTTGAGGTGCAGCAGCAAACAAATTTCTGCTGTTATGATCCTGGAGCTACTACAGGTCACATACTAAGACTGTCCATACCAGTGCAGTCTTCAGAAAACATTGGTTAGTTTTTTCAACACGTGCGATTCTGGTCAGCATTCAGTCTACAACACTTTTTAAATTGGAGATATCACATGTTTCTTGTGAGAAAATGGAAGCAAATTCCTCATTCTTCTCTGAAGCTCCTTGCACCATTCTCACACTGCCTCCCCAAGCATCTGGAGAAGAATTTTAGGGGCACAAGGAGGGGGAATGTGAAAAACAGCATTAAGGAGGCTATTAGAGAGAAGGCTTCCTTCATAAAACAGAAGCCCTGGAAAAAATGAGGAAACAGAAGGGACCACAGGCTTGCACAAGGGAGATCCAGGCTGATAAGAGATGCAAAAAAGCATTTTGAGAAGCACATCATTAGCTATATAAAGGTTAACAATAATGAGTTCTCTTAATATGTCAGAAGTAGGAAACCAGCTAGAAAGGCAGACTATGGGATGATAATGGAATGAAAGGAGTACTAAAGGAGGATAAGGAGATTGCAGGAAAGCTGAATAAATTACTTTAAGCTTTGCAGCAGAGGATACAGGACAGACACCTGTACCCAACTGTAGCTATTCAGGAAAGGACTCTGAGGAATTAAAGCAAACAGAGGTGACAAAAGATGAAATTCTCAACTTTGTTGACAAACTGAATATTAATAAATCACCAGGCTCAGATGAAATCTCAGATGAGCTCAAATAGGAAATTACTGAGATTAGCAAATATAAATACCATTTTTAAGGGATCTGGTGCAATCCTGGAAATTACAGTTTCTACGTAAATTGGTTGAAAACATTATTAAATACAGAATACAGAGGGACAAGCTCTGCTGAAAAGGGATTAAATGGCTCCTGCAAAGGTAAGTCCTATCTCACTTACCTAGAATTCCTTGAGAGTGTTAGTAAGCACATGGGCAGGGATCTGTAGGCACTGTATATTTGGGTTTTCAAAAGTCCTTTGACTAAGTCCCTCATCAAAGGCCCCAGAGCAAATTTGGCAGCCATGAAATAAGGGGAGGTCTTGTCATGGATCAGTTACTCATTAAGAAATATAAAGCAGAGTGGGAATAAATGGTAATTTTTCCCAATGGAGGGAGGTAACCAGTGAGAACCCACAGGGTTCTGCATTAGGACCAAAGCTTTCCAACCTATTTCTGAATGATCTGGAATTAAGAGTGATCAGCAAAGTGGTCAAGTTTGCAGATGACACCAAAATATTAAGGGTAGCCAAAAGGGATTGTGAGGGTCGCCAAAGGAATCTCTCCAAGCTGGAAGGATGGGCATCAAAAGAAAAATGCAGTTCAGTATAAGTAATGCATGTTGCAGCAAAAAAAGATACTTAAAGTATATGTTAGGATATGAGTAAGTGGTGAGTCACCAAGAAAAGGATCTTGAGTTGTGGTTGGCAGCTTGATGAAAATGTTGACCTAGTGCAAGCCTGCTGTGGAAGAGGCAAACTCCATGGTAGGGAAATTTAGGAAAGGAATTAAAAATAAAACTGCCAGTATCATACTGTGTTTATACAAATCTAAGGGGTGACCACACTCAGAATGTTGTGTAGAGTTGTGGATGCTACACCTAAAAAGATATTGTAGAGTTTGCAAAAGTGCAGGGAGGGGCAGCAAAAATAATCAAGTGGTTGGAGCCACTTCCCTATCAAGAAAGTTTGAGTGGAGACTCTCTCCCCCCACCCCCATGAACATCTGAGACTGTTTAGCTTAGAAAAAGGGCCCTCCAGAAGCAGTAGGAAAATTGAGAGCAGTGGGAAGGAGAATGACCAGCATCACCCTTGCTCATGTTGGACCCATGTGAGTTGTACTAGGATTGGGTTTACGCAGAGTGAACAGGGAGGAGATCAACTGCTGCTGGCTATAAGAAATCTGTTTGCTATTTTCTGCAATGTCATACTCTTAGGGCAGGTGTTTGCCATTTCTATTGTTTATTTATGCCTTAATAATTAAGAAAAGGTTATTTGGTATTTTTGGCCCCAGTTTACACAATACTGAAAAATAATATTTGGTATTTTGTTGGAATTATTGCTGTTACCCATTCTGTAATTTGAAATATGATGCTGATATTTAGGAAGTAAATTGTTTGCATTGTTTTTTGTTGTAATGATATAATTATTGTAATTAATGTATTAGGAGATTTTTTTTATTGCTGTGAGTTGCCTGGGGAGCTTCAGCTGCTAGTTAGTATAGAAATCAATGTAATTCATTCATTTCAATAAAGTGAATGTAATCAATTAAAATTATGCTTTATATTGACCAAATAGATTGTCATGAAGATAATAGCTACAGTTTTATCCTATTCTTGCTTTGCATAATATCTCCATGCACAAAAGGAGGATCCAAAGTACTGGGTTATGTAAGAAAAATATGGAGCTAGTCAACCAATGTCATCAAACTGCACAAATTCAATAACATGGGATTTAACTCAGTAAGAGTCACTTATCAAAACAATTTATTTTTCAAATAAAAATGCATATTTTCCTTTGGAAAAACACAGAGGATCCTGAGCATAAACTTTGAGAGCTACATCTCCCTGAGCAGATCTTATTTCTGTGAAAAAATGATTATTTAATGAGGTTCATTTGTGTTTGTCATTCTGATCATAGAAATCAGCAAACAAAAAAAGGCTCAGTAAAGATAATAAATCAGCTGAAGTTCTAGAATGGATTTCATGAATAATTAACTGCAGAAGGAACGCCTTACTAGAAACAGTTTCCCACAGTAGTTTTAGAAGACATTAAGACTTCAATGTTAAACCAAATTTCACAAACAGTAATGTGCAGCTAAGATTATGATTAATGTGGAACAGAGAGGAAAATTGGATTAGACAAATACCTAACTAACACATGATTTTCTAAAGTACAAAATTCAAAGTGTTTAAAACTCATTTAAAATGAAAACATTCTAACTAGATATTTAAAGAGTGGACTTATAAATAAAATGTAACAATTTATATAACACAAATCAATTATTCTGGAAATAAAAGCCATATAAGGTTTACTTTATGAATTACATTTTTCTTACAAAGAAAGCATTCTTTCTGTCTATATATCTATCTTTGGAACTGAACTTAAAAAAACAAAACAAGCCCCTACAAAAAAAAAACCCTCATAGTAATGCAACATTCATCTCTTGTGGAGCTAAAATGATCATTTAAACATGACAGCAGGGGAAGAGATAACCTTGAGCAGAATCTTGTAGCCTGTTACTTACAGTGAACATATGTTATAGAGGCAACCTCATCAAAGACATTTTCATTAGTGCTGGATGAACCTCAGAAAGATCAGAAATTCTGTCTGGATTAGCCAAAAGCAGGATGCTTAGTCATTCTTGTGCATTTAAACTATTCTTAGCATAAACATGATAGCAATTAACATGCCCTGCCTTCCTTCTCATAAAATCATTGAAATGATTGAAACGGGCACATACCAATCTGCGGATTTCCCGCTCGCATTCTCGCTTGATTCTGGTGATTTCTTCTTGGTGCAGATGATACACACTTCGGATCTCTGCTGCTTTAATTTTGTCAGCTTGAATGACCACAGATAAAGCTTCCTCCACTTGCTTCTTAGCCCCCTTAAGCTCTGAAATTTCCTGTTGCATTTTGAATTTCTCAACTTCAAATCCTTTCTTGGCCTCTTCCTTTGCTTCTGAGAAAAGCATTGTCTTTACCTTATCAGGCGTCCCATCTCTTACAACATTAAGTAAGGCCTGTAGTCTTTGAATTTCATTGTCTTTAATTTTTATAACTCTAAGAAGCTCAGCTTCATGCTGTCTTAAAAGTCCTTCTCGAACAGCCTGAAGCTCCTTCATTTTTTCTTCATGAAGTTTAGCCTTGAGTTCTGTTACAATCACTGTGTTTTTATGTTGTTCGTGTTCTTTGATCTGCTTAACTTCCTGATTCTTCTCTCTCTCTAGCTTGCTGACCTAGAAGAAAAAGACGACGAAGAAGAAGAGATCACACAATATATTTTAAAGTAGGAACGGGCAAGTTGTGATCCTCCAGATGCTTTGGTCTTAGCCAATGTAGCTAAGTCCTAGCCGGTATAGCTAATGGTGAGGAATGATGGAAGTTGTAGGCCAAACTTCTGGAAAGCCACAAGTTGACCATTCCTGTTTCAGAGTAACCTGATCACCAGGTAATATATATTGGACAAGATACTCTTAACAGTGAAATCAGCAGATTAATTATTGCCAACTAAGGGCCAAAAGAACCATGATACTAAATGAGTAAATATATTTAATTCATCTGTTTTTTTTCCCATTAACATCAACCATTAATGTGAACGTATGTGTGTGTCAGAAGGTGTGTGAAGAGTTGAGATGGCAGATTTCCAGGCAACACAGAGGGCTGCAGAAAGAAAGAAAGAAAGAAAGAAAGAAAGAAAGAAAGAGAGAGAGAGAGAGAGAGAGAGAGGAAGGAAGGAAGGAAGGTTCCACTGTGCAGCTTTCCTGTATTGTGTAAACAGTATATTCCCCCCACCTTTTCTGTTTTGTTTTATTGTTTTTAATTGCACGTGCTGTGAGCCATTCCGAGATGCCGAGGCATGTGGCGACAGCATATAAAGGTTTTAAATAAATAAATAAATAAAATATTTTTTTAAAATACAGAGGGAAAAAAAGCATAAATACAGACACATCACAATATCAATAATATAATGTACAAAAGTGCAACTAATAAATGAAAAAGTAAATAACACAGTGCCCCCACCAGCCAGGAGACCAATAATACCTCCATTTTAATTCATATAGTATAACAATTAATAATATATAATATACTTCAATTATATCCATATCCCCTCCAAAACTTCATATAATCTTGATTAGGTTTACAACCTTTACCTTCTATCAGTATTGCTTTTACAAAATCTTCCCAAATTTCATTGTATTTATTTGCTATTATTAACCCTTTTAAATTTATTTCTGTTGTCAGTTTATCATTAATTACCATATTCCATATTTCATTATACCATTCATGCCTTTGCAAGCCCAATTCTGTTTCCAATATTTAACTGTCACTAACCTAGCTGCCATTATCAACCCTAGGATCAATTCTTTCTTAATTTCATGTATATCTTGTTTTTCAATAACAATAACACAATTCTTCGTGAAATTTCTAAATCTTTATCTAACATTTCTCTAATTTCATTACACACCATAATCCAAATTTGCATTTGCCAATACTTCCATCATTAAAGCAAATAATACTGGGGATAAGGGACAACCCTGTCTTGTCTCTTGGTTTAGAGTTATTGTTTCTGTAATATACTTCTGTAATTGTTTCTGTGTGAGAGACACGCTGGGACAGGGTGGGGCACAGGGAGGGGCCCTGCGGCCTACAAAGCGCCGGCTGCGTCCGGGGCCGGCCCCCGGGAGCAAACCAGCGCGTTGGATGGTGACGGCCTAAGGGCGATGGCCTAAGGGCGGTGACGCCGCCGTTTGGGGGCCATTCAGGGGCCGAGCAGGGGACTGGGCTGGCCGAGGGCTTTGGTGGTTGGCTTTGGTTTCGTTTGTGGGCTAGCAGCGGATTAAGTAGGATGTTTTTAGTAATTTTAATTGTCGGTTTTAGGTTGCTTTTAATTGGTGCATCTCGTGCTTTACTATGATGTCGCCTGGGGAGCGCGTGGGCGCCGCTATCGGGGTGGTGATGGGCAATGGACATTATGGCGTTGGGGGTCTAACGGGTCTGCATAGAAGAAGGAGGGACAGATGGTTAACACCTGTCCTTCTTTCTGGTTATTCCCCCAGCCGGCGGGTTCCAGGTAGACTTGTCAGCTGCCCCCCGGGCCTGTCGATGCTGCTGCTTAATGCCAAGTCGGTCCAAAATAAGGCAACACTCATCCATGATTTGATCATGGATGAGAGGGCCGACCTGGCTTGTATCACAGAGACCTGGGCAGGTGAGGGGGGGATGTCACCCTCTCACAACTGTGCCCACCTGGGTACCTGGTCCAGCACTGACCACACCTGGAGGGGAGGGGAGAGGGGTCGCTCTGGTTTATCGAGCTTCTATCTCCCTTGTGGGGCTTTCTGTCCTCTCGAGGCTGGGGCTGGAGTGCCTCCACTTGGTGTTGGGTGACCGAGACAGATTCTGTTGGTGTACCGTGCACCCTTCTGCCCAACAGACTCCCTGCCTGAGCTGACGGAGATCGTCTCAGACGTGGTGTTGAAGATTCCCAGGATGTTGGTCCTGGGGGACTTCAATCTCCATGCCGAGACGGTTTTAACCGGGGCGGCTCAGGACTTCATGGCCTCCATGGCAGCCATGGGGCTGTCTCAACACATCAGTGGCCCGACCCATGAACGTGGACCTGGTTTTCTCGACAGGGCAGGAAGAGGGTGATCTGAGGGTGAGGAATTTAAGTTTGATGCCCTTGTCATGGTCAGATCACTTCCTCATAAGGTTTGAGCTCGAGAGCGGCCTTTCCCTCTGTAAGGGTGCAGACCAGATTGTATTGGTCCGCCCCCGGAGCCGGATGGATCCTGATGGATTCCTGAAAGCTCTGGGGGATTTTCCGGTTGACAAGGCTGGTGATCCTGTCGATGCCCTGGTTGAATTGTGGAATGGGGAGATGACCAGGGCTATTGACACGATCGCTCCCAAGCGTCCTCTCCCACCTGGCAGAGCCCGTTCATCTCCTTGGTATACACCTGAATTATGGGCAATGAAGCAGGTTGGGAGACGTCTAGAGCGTAGGTGGAGAAGATCACGGGGTGAATCTGACCGAACACACTTAAGAGCCCATTATCGGGCCTATGCTGTGGTGGTGAAGACAGCGAAGAAGAAATTCTTCTCTGCTTCCATTGCCTCCTCACAATGCCGTCCGGCGGAGCTCTTTCGGGTGGTGCAAGGGCTGATACATCCAGGCCCAAAGAAAGATCTCGTACCACCCTCAAAGGCCCGCTGTGACAACTTTGCCAGGCATTTCAGAGAGAAAATCGTTCAGATTCGTCACGAGCTTGACTCTACTATTGAATCAGATTCTACTGAGGAGATGCCAATGACACCGTCGAGTCCACAATTAATGGATGAATTTCAGTTGTTGCAGCCTGATGATGTGGACAAGGTGCTTGGACAAGTACGCCCTACCACCTGCTTACTAGACCCATGCCCATCTTGGCTCCTTAAGAAAGCCAAGGGCGGGATTGGGACCTGGATCCTGGAGGTGGTCAACGCCTCTTTAAGAGATGGTCAGGTACCTTCCTCTTTAAAAGAGGCGGTAGTCCGGCCAGTCCTAAAGAAGGCATCCCTGGATCCAGAGGTGGCCGCCAATTATAGACCGGTGGCCAACATCCCGTTCCTGGGCAAGGTGCTAGAGCGTGTGGTGGCGGGACAATTCCAAGCATTCTTGGATGAAACTGATTATTTGGACCCATTTCAGTCCGGCTTCAGACCTGGGTACGGCACTGAATCTGCCTTGGTCGCCCTGTACGATGACCTGTGCAAGGAGAGAGACAGGGGGAGTGCATCCCTGTTAGTTCTCCTGGACCTCTCAGCAGCTTTTGTTACCATCGACCATGGTATCCTTCTGAA